CATACAGGAACTCTCCTGATGATTGAATTTTATGGTTGAGCAAGATTGCTGCCTTGTGGCATATAAAATTGTAATACAGAAAACTAGAAAGATCTTTAAGAGATGAAAGAATATATGAAAAGAAACGAGATAGACCAAAGTATGTAAACAAACTATCCGAGGAACTAAACACAATTCTAACAAATGTCCAATCTTTCGCTCGTTTAGAAATTGCTAAACTCACATAGCTCCTCTTCAATTGTCATCAGTTCTATCACCTCAGAATCTCTTATGAAATACCCACCAAATCAATGACTGCGATTATGCTATCCTCCAACCAAAGTAATACACTCATCAATGACAGCTTCCATCTCCCAAATTCGATTTTTCAGCCCGCCGTTTTCCTCCTTCAGAATGCTAGCAATAGCCCAAGCATCTGATGCGTTGGCTCCATAGCAGTTGGAGCATCTGGACACGGAAAACGGACCGGAACTCATCAATGAACCACCAAAGCCTGCAGACGAAATACCCTTAAGGATTTTGTCATAAGTGGAAGACTTTGGAGCGGGAGCGGAAGTTGGAAGTTTTGACGGCGACACCAGTTGAGGAGAAGCCAATTGAGCACTTGAAGGGAAGTGGAGAGGGGTATGTGGACAGATATCAGGAGATGAGGATCTAGATGTCTTCGTTGCCACGGTCATGGGTGATCCCAGGCCGTCGTTTCTACTCGAAAATATGCTTTCAGTAGTACTCTCGTATCCGGATTCGAAGCCGGAGTCGCTGTGGAACGCCCCCCCACTGGAGCGTTTGCTAAGGCAACTTATAGACATGGTATCTTGCCCGTCTTTGACACTACTGGGGATGTGTTGGTTGACAGGTTCTAATTCCTGGACCAGGACAACACTTCGCTTTCGCGCCTCTTCTTCTTGCTGTTGCTTTTGTCTCTCAAGATTAAACTCATCTGCCATCGCTTTTATGGCTTTGTCCTGTTCAAGTACCTTTTCCGCCATTCTATTTAGTTGAGTTTTGATATTCTGTAGGCGTGAATGTGTCTCCTCTAGCTCTTCTCCCAAAGATGACTTCTCTGCCAGTGCTTCGTGAAGTGCAAAAGTCCGCTGTTTGTATGCTGCATGGAGCTCCCTAATAACTTGTTCTGCATTCTGTGGGAGGGTTTTAAGCGCTTCCGCAGTGGGAAGATCCGTAGAGTTCGCAGGGCAAAGTACTGAGCTGATGTCGAGGTTCAGAAATTCATCCTCAGCGGGTTCTGGCAATTGACCTTGTTTCGAGTCATTGGCTTTGGTGCCAAAAAGGGATAACCGAGCTGTAGAGCTGACTTGTTTCAAAGGGGATGGCATGCTCATTCTGTATTGTACCCTACCTGGAGGCCGTGAAGAAAATAATTCTGCCATTAGTGTGGTTTCTTTGGGGCCCTGAGAATTTTCGATGTCGTCTTCCTTCGGGTAAAAGGACGGGATGAGCCCGAACCGAATTGGGGAGGATACTCCCTGGAAAAGACCGGTAAATAGCCTTCGTGGAATATCTGATTTAAAAGCTCTAGAGTTTTTTTCACTTGGGTCCAGCTCAACCTCTTCTAAACAATCTTCGGATAAATGATGTAGTTGACTTAGGGTTTCGTTACCGTTTCGATTGGTTCTAGGGTATGGGAGCGAAGGAACTTCAGTTTTTGCTCGACGGTGGGTTAGGCTGCGTAGAGGCGAATTTTCTTCTGATCTCAAGTGAGGTTTGGTCTTGACAGATGATCTGAGTGTAGGAGGAGTTGTAGGGGGGGCAGTTATTGGAGGGCCAGTTCCTCCATCAGTCGTTTCAATGCATGGTTCAAGACGAGGAAGTCGATTCGTTGAGCCGCGCTGGGGAGACGTTAAATTGCGGAATGTTGAAGAGGCACACGATGATTTCGATTCAGAGTTGAGCATTGGACGCAGGATGAAGCCGCAGAATGTTCGTGCAGTTTGTGCAAAAAGTTAAGGACAGCGATAAACTAGTGCGTGTTGATTTGCCAACCTGCTATCACCACGTATTGGGACAAACGCTCTCGATGTCGATTGGACGGTTTCGCACAGCACGAATAAAATAACTAATGATGCCTAAAGCCTGCTATTGAAGTACATCGACAACTCCCAATGCACAAGAAACTGGAGACTAACGTTTCTATCGCAAAGATAGAAAAATGCCCGAATGTTCCCGGGTTACGCAGAGGCAGAGTGGGTTGTCGATTTGTTGGTGGCTTGAATGTTGAGGAAGCCGAAAGCGGAGGCTTGAGACTGCCAAGAGGTTTAACTAACTACCGATAAGCATGGTCAGGATGTATGTTTTGTCGATCAGGTTCAACAATGTGGTTCAACAATGTGTTTCACTCTCACAAAACCAACATTCGTTGTTGTGTCGTTGAAATAAGACGAAAGCTGCAATTGCTCTTTTATCCCTTCCATGATCCCATTGCCCCCTGACGCGGAGTTGGCAATTAATTGAGAGGCTGAGGACATTTATTTGAGTGGCTAGCAAGCATGTACCCACCGCATCCAGCCCAGTCCACCAGGAACGGGCTCCACCAGGTTTGGCAGAGGTGGGAAGTTTTCAAATCGTCATACTTGACACACCGTTTCCCCCTTCAGGGTCTATACTGATCCCTCCCACTTCGAATGGATTTAGTAGCCTTAATGAGCTATTGCAGGTGTGCTGCCCGCCTTCGCTGTTTCACGTTGTCGCTCTTCGAATATCACTGGAAACATAAACCATCTTGCCCGGAGAAATCAAGAAGGCTCTGCGTAATCTTGAGTGACATTAGCCTTGCCATTTTTGCTTTTCGATATTTCCGAGATGATGAGATCTCTGAAGAATTGCTCTCTTGATTTTTAGATTCATAGATGTGATAGGGTTAGGTAACATTCTGGGCTTAGGCCAGGGTTGTCTTAGGCGCTGCTTTAATTGAAAGTTTTGCGGCTGCAGCCCTAAACCCTAAATCGTTGCTTTCTGCGTAAAGCTTGACTCCTGAAGACTTAGAAAACATCTACGACAGCAGATTAAAGAATAGATACAGCAGCCGTTGTGACTGCGGAGAAAAGCTCACAATGGCACCCATGGCTTCTCTGGATAAACTCTCAAACCCACTTGCAACCCCTGCCCAGCTTTTAATGTCGTCCTCATCTCTCGACAGGATTCCCGCCGACTTAGAGACGTCCATTCGTTATGCTACAGTTCAACTTATGCAGGCTGCTGGTATCCTTCTTAGACTTCCGCAGGATGTGATTGCACAAGCCATTGTGACTTTTACGAGATTCTGGGTTGGTTCTGAAGGCGGCAGCCTTGCTATTCATTCTTCAAAGGTTCGAAGCACCCCGAATATCCTAGGAGAAGGCGACCATGGAGAGTGGGAGACAAGCTAACAAATCTGTCAGGATATCTCTGCAGCATCACTCTATCTGATGGCGAAACAATCTTTCGTGCCCGTTTCCCCACGTTCAATCATCAATGTTTATGCTTTTCTTCTCTCCCCCGAAGCCTCCCCACTCGATTTCGTCAACCCGCAGGCTCCCATAGAAAGGCCAAGCCCGGAGACCTATTATGTATCAGAAGGCGCCTACCACGCAGAGCGACTAATTTTGATGAAAATGGAGAGCGCGGTTCTCAGGACCCTTGCGTTTAATACTCATGTCACCCTTCCTCATACCATTGCCCTTACGTATCTGCAAACCCTAGGAACATCCTCCAGCGCAGTGTCAAAAAGAGTCTTCGAGCATCTAAATGCAGCATTATTCTCTCCACAGCTCTTATACTTGACTCACCAACCAAATGCATTGGCTGCTTCAGCGATATACCTCGCAGCAAGGGAGGAGAGTGTCAAGCTGGTAGATGGTGAATGGTGGGAAGTCTTTGACGTGGACAGAGAAGAGTTGGGCTTCGTGGTCGTTGGGATGAGAAGTATGGAAGGTTTCGCGAAATCGGAAAAAGAAAAATGGAAGGGGCGTCCTGTTCCTTTGACTGTTGATCAGGTGGAGGCGGAGTTGGAAACTCGGAGAATGCTGGAAGAAGGGGAATGAAAAGGAGTCGACTCTATTGCAACATGAATCATATTTTGGCTCCTGCTCCTGCTTGGAAATTTAACTGGCATGCACCGAAAAATCGCTACTACGTTTGGAGGTTTACGATAATGGCCTCCCCTGTGAAACTGTTCACTGCGTAGATGGTCCTATGACAATGCACATCGTCGACGCACGATTGACAAGGGTTGTAGTGACGAGAGTTGAAGTGTTCTTCCAACGGCGAGCCGCACTTTGGAAACACCAAGTCCAGCAAGCTCGGAGGCTTATGGATGTAACTCTTTTATAAGGGTCATATCCTTAAGGTTTAAAGACTTTCAGTGATGGCTATTGCAAGCATGCGGTTTGAGAGCCTTTTTATCAATGGTCTTAAAGCCAAAATATTCGGGAGGAAAGGCCGCCCGCCCCTGACGACTTCGAGTTAACCTCACTCCTGTTGATGGCAAATGGATGGCTCACCAATTTACTGCCGTTTTACAAGCTCAATATTCTCAGGACTTCAAGGTACATACAGGAATAGGTCTACATGGACTCCAGCAATGGAAGTATAACATACAGTTACTATTTCATTTATGACGAATGAGTAGACTACTTTCAGGTAAATACATCTTGGGGATTAGAGGTTAATAAAGTAACTTTCGAAATTTACTGCATGCGTGATGTCTGATGCTCTATTTTTGTCATATATGACGAAGATGCCCAACTCTGATGACCTGCTTCCTCAGCTCCCCTTCAAGTCCACGTGATTCTCCTCGCGCAGCGTCATAATTCAGGGTTGGAGTTGCTGCTTAGCGATGGTTTGAACAAAACTGGAGCCTTTTACCTCCTCTAACCACCTATTTATTGATCAAATGTCAACTGAACACTTTGAACTTAATCTGCATTTTTCTCATTTTTTTCCCCCACCCAATACTGCAGTCATAATCAAGCTTCTCAAAACCAAAACTGACGAATCTCACAACGATGAACGTTGTCCGCTCCACCCTGAGCACATGGAGGGAACGTCTCGCCCCGGTATCCCACACCTCAACCTTCCGCTCCACAGGCCAAATTACACCCGAAGAGTTCGTCCTCGCAGGCGACTATCTAGTATACAAGTTCCCCACATGGTCGTGGGAAGATGCGAGTTCACTAGCAAAGCGTGCCCCGCATCTACCACCCGGGAAACAGTTCCTAGTGACACGCGGGGTACCATGCCATCGGCGACTTGACGATAACTTTGCGGGCGATGCTGGTCAGGAAGATGTCATGGTTACTGATGGGCTGAGTGGTGCTGGCGGTGGTGGGGGTGGGGTTGCGGGTGGTGGTGATGATGAGGGCTGGCTCCGAACTGGAGGGGGGATGTCGGATAGTCATGCGGCGAGGATAAAGGATGTGCGGACGGTTGATGAAGCAGGGAATATTGGGGAGAAAGAGGAGGATGAGGAGGAGATTCCGGATATGGAGGAAGAGGACGATGATGCAGAGGCTATTATAAGAGAACCGGCTGGGAAAGCGGGGACTGATTCGTAAGTGTTTGGTGCATTTTTATTCTGTTTTGTTGTCTGGCTTGGCTCTCCTGCTCTTTTGGTCCTTCTCTGTTGTTATGTTGTGGAGCTCTCAATAGCAAAGTGTGAACACTCTTAACACTTATTCCCTTAGGCCCCTCCGAACCTACACACTCTACATAACATACAGCACCTACTACCGAACCCCGCGCCTGTATCTTTCAGGATATCTCTCCCCTTCCGAGCCTCTTGCCCCGCACCTAATGATGGAAGACATCGTCGGTGATTACAAAGACAAAACAGTAACCCTAGAAGATTTCCCCTTCTTCGATGGCGGTGTGAAAATGGCCAGTGTGCACCCCTGCCGCCATGCAAGTGTGATGAAAGTCCTCCTCGACCGTGCGGAAGCTGCCCTGAAACTTCGCCGCCAAAAGTTCAAAGATGCTACATCGACTGAGGACGTGAGACGTAATATGCCCTCGAAGGTTGAGAGTGGACTGGAGGGGCTGGTAGATGATACGTCCCGTCTGACAATTTCTAGGGGACACCAGCAGCAGCAGCAGCAGCAGCAGCAGCAGCCGATCGCAGCAGTGCCTCCGAGCGGTAATGCGGGGGATGAGTGGGAGGTGCTGCAGCATGAGGGCGCGGAGGAGGATGATGACGATGAGCAGCGCGTGGCGATCCGGGTGGATCAGTATCTGGTTGTTTTCTTGAAGTTTATTGCGAGTGTGACGCCTGGTATTGAGCATGATTTTACGATGGGGGTTTAGGAATGCAGTTGTCTTCTATCTCACCGGTGATCAAGGAAATTGGCATGAGACTCACGTGGACCTTCCACTAAAAATGATGGGCTCGCCTTTTTCGGCATTCTTGTGCCATTTGATATCACTATTTGGTTTGCTTCTTTGTTGCCTGGAGCACGGGTTGAGAATTAGGTGGACTTGATATTCTTTGACTTCTATTTCTCACGTTATATTAATCTATCTCATCCTTTTCCCGCAAATTTCTTCTATATTTTGCTAGTTTTCTCATATGCCCATGACGATACATATTATATTCATCTGACCTTTATTCACAGGAGTTGGGAGAACTGCTGACGCCTGAAAATAAAATTTTTCATACTAATATCACAAGATACGTTGATAATCAAAAGGAAGATTCTCCCAATCTTGTGTGTTTAACTGTATTTTTCTCCCATCACCGTGCAAAGTGGTTATGGGTTTCCACCCATACTTGTATTCATAGAGCTCAAGTGTTGGCCGGAAAGGGCTATTTGAACGCCTGCGGTAACATTCGAAAGTCGACACGGGCTTGGAGAGCATAGCACGTCGGAAAATTCCTTGTGTGTTGCTGATAGCCAGCTGAGGAAGTTAAACGTTGAAAAGAGAGGCCCTTGCATTATTAAGCGGACTGACTTATATCCCGTTTTATCACTAAATCAATTCTGCGTACCATATATGCCTTGCATACATAGCCAGAGGCAGAGATTGACAAAATGATCTGGACAACAGCTTTGACCTAACAGTCTTGATGTTACTGTGCCTTTATTACCAGCATTTCTTCCGTTTATATACTCCGGAGGCTGTAGATAGAGTGATAAATCGCCGAAAAAAATATCCAAAAAAGAGTTACCCCGATTCCAAATGCAAAAATGGCAGTCATGGGGGAATCGAGCGGGGCAAAAGGTAGAAACTGGGGCGACAGGTTAATAAATGAAATTATAGCTGGTTGTCAAGAAACCTCATCCCAGACGTTAGGTAGCCAAAAAGAGAAATACTGTACATTGTGTATATAAATAAATAGATGGGATACATACGAAGATGGCTTTCGTCCCCCGGCAAAACTAAGAGGAGATATTAATAAATAACATAAAAAGATTATAAAGATCCAAAAGCCGAACCAAAATTCGTGCTATGTTTAAACTTGATCCCAGGCTCCGGCTCAGTTTTTGCATGCTCCGATTCTTGACTGGGGCCTGTACAGTCTTGCTCGCTAGAATCGGAACCGGGCCCACGTTGCGTGAGCTTTCTCGCTTCATCCAATAGCTTCTGGTCAAGGGTCTTCAGAAACTCTAGGTCCTGCTTCTCGTCATTCTTCAGGCCAAGGGGACCTTCGAGGGCCGGGTCATCATCGACGTCAGGAATGTACGAGTCCGCCGTCGCCTCTGCCTCGAGCGTTTGCTGTGGAGCAATGGGCGATTCCACTGTCAATGTATTATCCTCTGTTGATACATTGTTTATCTCTGGCCCCAGTTCAATGATTGGCTTCGGGGTATGTCCCGCGTCTCTGACAAGATTTTCCTCCGGGGGTCCCAATTCGGAAAGTGAAATCCGTAATGGGTGTTTGGCGTCTGGTGCTTCGTTTGAAGGTGGTGATGCGAGGGACATAGGGGAGAGCGAGGAGGCTCTTGCGAGGACATCGGGTGGGAGAGCGGTAGATTTAAGAGTGATTCCATCTAGACTGCTGTCGACTAGCTCGATAGGTACTCCAACTGCAACGGAACGATCGACGGGTCGCATTCGAGGGGAGAGTGCTTCGTCAAGGGAAGGGGGTACTCCAATATCATGGTGATTGCGGTGAAGTGTCGGGGCCTTGGGACTCTCTTCTTCCACCTCGTCCAAAAATATTCTCGTAGGATGTGCAGTTGGGCTTGATCCTTCCCATATATGATGGATACCTTGCGGCTTACGGCCCTGCATTCCAATGGGATTCGATGACATCTGGGTCTTTTCCATTCTGCCTAATTTAATCTGCCCTTTCTCCAGTTCCGCAATCGTAAGTTTCATAATGGTCCTTTCTTTCTCCCACAGCTTTCGCTCTTCCGCAAATGCTGCTCGCTCACGCTCGAAGCTCGTTCGCAAGCTCTGAATGGCTAACTGCGACTGCTCGATGTACCCAAAAAAATAGCGGAAGTTTGGGTCGTGTGCCGATGTCCCACCTAGTGTCGCAGAGGAGCCATCGGGTCTTTTCACAGGCAAATTACCGACCGTTAGCGATTGCGCGCGACGCATTGGAGGTGACGTGGGAGAAAACAAGGCCTTAGAACATTTAGGGCTTTCGCCACCAGATTTTGCAGCAGCCTGGGCCATACTTCGGATGGAAATTCGATGAAAGTTGGTTGCTGCTTTTCAACCATACGTCGTCGTCACCTCTTACAAGATATGAAGGAGGCAGGAATGTATGGTCTCCAGGAATATCCTAGTCGTTTTGGACAAGTGATTAATATAGTTAACTACGTGTCAAGGTCGGTCGAGAATCGCCCGCCGAGATTCCACCGGGAGGCACATCAGTTACAAGCGGGATCGCGAAGGCATCCTAGAGAAGTAGAGCGGCAAGATTCCTGGATTTTTCCGGTCTCCTTTCCCCGGAAATGGGATGTTGATGCGAGAGCAGAGCAACAAGCACGTTGGGCGGCTACCGAGGAGGTCAGGGGGTTGGGTGGGACCTTGGTTCTAGGAAACTAAATAATTAGGCGCATTCTGCTTAACTTAAACCTTGGGAGTCATTCGAAGGGTCCCAACGTCTTTTTATTATTTTCCTTTATTGTTTAACAGAAAAAAGCAGGTAACGAATGAGACGACGCGTGCATTCGACGCATGTGCTGCTGCCTTGAAGGGGCTTCTCTTTTAAATACACAATAACATAGTTGACTGCAGTTTTCTGCCTCCACGGAATGACAAGAGGCATATTCCAAGGTCCTGTTGATGGGACCGTTTCTCTTCTCTAACCAATCTCATGTCCCATTTCTATTGATTGAACAGCAACCTTGGACCCAACATCAGGCTCCACCCTCTTTTACCCGTGTTTCGGGAGACCGTAGCGGGATACAGAGATCTTCTCTCAAGGAATTATTTCATATTCATGTGGATAATCCTACGCACTTATTAGCTATTGCTGGTCAAGTCATTCTGGTCATTACATCATGGCATCGATGATGCTTAACAGTTATCGTTTCTGCTCGCATGAATTCATTAGACTCTTTATATCTAACAAAGGTTGTCAAAGTTATGATGATAACTATCAATCTGATACTCAGGAATCTTGGAACCATAGCTCACTCAACATTTTAGGATATTTTAACCTGGGCATTCAAACCAGACCCGTTGAATGTAGATAATATATACCTTTGGAAATGGCCCCACAGTTGACCAGCCTTCTGTGAGAGATTGAGCTGTCCAATTTCAGAATTCTTAAAAGCGTTCGCCAGAACTCATCGGACATCTCTTTCGATATCCATGCAATCACCTTTGTAGCTGTGCCAGATGGGCATGATAACAATATGGAACCATATTTTAATGATGCTCGATCGAATCCCATCATCTCCCCACATTGAGCAAAAAGCCTCAAATGGAACACACGGAAATCTCCAAATATTTTCTACCTGGAATGGCCAAGGTGGAAACGGGCTGTATATCGGTGCGTCCTTATGAACAACTACATCAAGAACAATCGAGAGGGATCGTGATTGCCGGGGCAAATCGTGGTCGATTGTGGTATATCAAGATCATCGATGTGGACAGAGGGAGCTAGAAGCTCTCCGCCGCAGTGGACCGAAAGAAAGGATACGGGGGTAGTTAACCACCGTGAATTCAGGGAGCAAAATTGCGTTCAACTATTTGTCGATTGAGTTAGAATGCATTAGAGGAGCCGACCATAACCTTCTGTTCCGATTCAGTCTTAAAAGTGTCGGGGGTAGAGAAATACCATCATGCTGCAACCATCTTATATCTTATGATGACTTGGGGTATGCTTGATTAAGACAGAGAGATCTTTAGAACCAGCTTCTTAGTACATGACGCGCAAATTGAAACGCAGTTTTCGAGCTCGCGGGAAATATAACCTACTTTCAACTATATTCCTCAATCCACTGGTATACATATCCCGAGATGGGATCGCACCCAACATATATATGTACTGTACAAATGGAGCTGCAGAGTGACCGATGACGGTGAAAATCGATACAGGTATGCCTAACCAATCCCATGAACCACCACAACGCCAAAAAATTAGAAAGCTAAAGTTGGAAAACAAAAAGCTTAAAAGAGGATGACCTTGCAAGACAGAGAATCTATCAATCAATTCATTCTATAAACGCCAAATCCCCAAGCTGCCCGCAATACAGCCAACCCCCACGCCATCCCAAAACTATCCCATATAACATTCAATTTGCTCCCTTTCACCTCCCGCCAGCCCACAGGCACCTCGACCACGGGGATCCCTGAGAATTCAGCAAGCATGAGCATTTCAACGTCGAAGATCCAGCCTTCAGAGTGCATGTGGGGTATGATATAGGGTAGTGAGGCGCGCGAGAAGAGCTTGAAGCCGCACTGGGTATCCTTTATGGCAGCGGTTGCGGGTGGTGTGAGGATGCGTAAGATCAGGTGGAAGGAGTGCATGAGGAAGTTGCGGAGTTTGGATCGCTGGTGAACGCGTGTTTTGTTAACTGTTGTTGCATTTACAGGAACGGAGAGGAGGGAAGGCAGCGGAAGGTATCTGGAATATATTTGGGAATAGATGGCGGTACCTTGACAACAGCTTCACTGCCAACTAGATGTGCTCTAGATCCAACTGCAATACCGCGAGAAGAGGCATCTTCAACCCGCTGGCAGGCTGCAACTAGCTTCCCAAGATCATCGAAACGACTGGCACCATCTGCATCTGCAAAGATCACATACTGGCCCCGTACATGCCTCATGCCATGCGTGACAGCGCCACCCTTGCCTCTGTTCTGCGCAAGGGTGATGACTCGAATTGACCCTGGTGGGATGGGTACAACTTTTGCGTTGGACGCCGTTGTCCAGGGCCCGATGTGGCTCTTCGAGTGCGGGGAGAGTTGATGGTCTCTAGCAAAAGCCAGTGCGGTTGCTACGGTTGAATCGGTTGAACCGTCTGATACGATCAGGATTTCCCAACCTTTTGATGGCGGAGCCGCACGGATGCTTTCATTCTCGTTGTGTTTACGGAAACGGGTCCCTCCTGATTCTGCCTCTTCTCTACTCAGTGGCTTGCTTTGCTGTTGCTCTGACAATATTCCGTATGTTTTCTCAAGATAATTCACCGCCTCTACAAGCATCCCGCCCAGTCGATCTTCTTCGTTGTAGGCGGGGACAACAACTGACATGAACAACTCCGCCTTCTCTATGGCTTTCGCATCATTTGCTGGGGAGGCTCCCTGGCTATCTTGCCAGCAAGGTAGCAATAGTGGTTCCGTAATTGATCCATCTTCAGAAATCGTTTTGTAGTTTTTCTCTTGGGGAAGAGGAGGGCGGGGGGATGGTGCTACGATAAAAAGTAGAGTATATCCCTGGACGAAATTTAGTTTTAAAGCGTTGTAGATTGGGCGGGGGCAAAGCAGATTAACGGTTAATTGTTATTAAACCTACGGTAAGAATGGCACCTGTAAGTGTGGATAGCAAGAATATGAACCATAGCGAGAGGGGAGCATTGCTGGCGAGCTGTATGCATCGGTCGCAGATCGCGCGCAGAGCTGCGATGTCCATGGCTTGCTTCGTTCTTGGTCAAAATAGACCAAGATAAAAATGTAGAAAACACAATTGCTCAGTCATCCATGTGGACTACATACGCAGGGTGTAGCAAGCAGCTGGTGATTGAACTTCGAACTCGGGTTTGCGAGGGATTGTAATCCGCATACCTGTTGGAGATGGTAGTTTATTTCATCTTTCAGTATGTCAGCCAAGCAGCCACAGTGTCCTTTGAAGCTAAATCAGATAAGCTTCCCGCTTGGCGCCACAGCGCTTGCGCGTTTCCTTTCACCCCTTCCAACTTCAACCCCACGCAACATTCTCTTTACCACCGACCAACAGCAATCGTCAAATGCCTTCCACAATTCTCGCTGCAACAATCAGACTGTTATTGTGCTGTCAGACAGAGCTATCAGATAGTGCTGAACTGAGGTGAGGCCTACTGCGAAGCCTGATAGATGATGAGAATCGCAGTTGTTTTCAGCCAGCACTCGACGGCATCTCCAAGAGGCAGACCCAACAAGGCTGGGTTTGACGGACTCATCTCTACGATGGGCGATTGCCCAGCACAGAATAGAAGCTTTTTTCGGTTTTGCAAGACATGATACTGTGCTCTAGCAGCTTTAATGTCACTAGGACATTCTAATACAACTTCCACCTTCCGCGACGTGTCGGCGTAGTTAAAGTATTTCTGTTGCGACCGACTTTCATGCCTGAGGCTACGAGACAGGTTAATTACCTGTTCCCAAAATTCAAGTTGTCTAGAGAAAGACAATTGGCTATTCCAGAAACTCCCTGAAGGAACAGTGTTCTGCAAATGACCTTCGTCGGATCTGCTTTGTTCTAGCGCCCTCATGGTGTGTGGTGCCTGATGACTTAACCGGAGGATGATTCGATCGCAGGCCGTTTCACAATTTATAATATCTTGGATGTCATTTCACCTGTTAAAGGAAGCTCTCTTACAAGGATCAAATTGTTGCCTTGACCATATTCCCAACTTGGACAGATGTCATAACTTTTAGTGTTGTGCTTCGTTAGAAGTTGCGATATTTCCGTTATTACCCTAGGATCATATTGCCTTATTTTGGCCATTGGTTTTAGACTTGCTGACCGTCTCAGAGTGACTAGGAGTGAATGTAACCCATGAACTAATCTTGCGAAACGCACGAGCCATTTGAATTACAGAAATCTAATCAGCAAGGGCATAGATTACCGCCGGGAATAGGCTTCCACGTTTCCAATATCGACTTGGTTTTGAGAAACGGTTGTTTCGTCAGTGTTGAAGGCAACCTGGCCCTTGCGTGAATACAACTTTCGAATCTACCCGCCACCGTCACACCCGTACACCCTACTGGTTATGTCATCACACCGCGGCGGGTTGTCTAGTTCTGTGGAATAAAGGGTTAAACAATGGCTGTGAGTTGTGCGCTTCAGTGGTTGCCTGGCGGTAGCCATCAGACGAGATGCATCGAATCCCTGGCATTAGCTCAGAAAGCTGGTGATTTTGACACCCTAGCTTCCAATTAAAGGGCGTATGGGAGTAACGACCGCCCTATCAACTCTACCTCGGTCCTTGAGAGTCTTGACCTGTCAACTTAACGTCTGCAGAACCTCGAAAATGAGGACATGAGACCTATCTCCAATGCGAATGGCGTGGGAGGCGCGAAGCCTATGTTCCCGCCTCTGTGGCGAGACGTAGGGACACGGATAGGTAGGGGCTCTGTGGAAGGTGTTTGGCGAATAGTATGGACAAGTGGCCATGTACCCCATCAGATGTGCTCCGGACCTTCACTAGGTGCCCTCTGCCCACTTTTTCAGCTTGACAAATGTGTCACACCTTTATCAGAGAAATTCCGCCTCCTGGCTTTGGCATAAGGCAACCGGGGGCATGTGGTGAATACGCGTACCTCGGGCAAAATTTGTTGGTAAGATCAGTTCTTATGTGGAGCCGACTCGAGCTCTCCAAAATCCTTTTTATGCGAAGTGAAGACTGTATCCCGACCATTTCCACTAATTGGGACTAGACAGAGCTCCAACTATCACATATGACCTTCTAGTTTAACCACCCAAGCGGTGAAATTTCAGCTCTTGATCAGGCAAATTCGGACTTACGTTCAAATCTTCCGAGGATGTTTTGACAAGCCGTGCAGGGGACCCATCCCTCCAGCCATGTCATAACACGTGATTGATATGACACAAAACTATATTGCCACGCATAGGTTCAGCCGCCGAGAAGTTTCGCCATGGATGGCAATAATATGCATCCCTTTGCCATCAATGCAAGTCATATGCACATAAAGTTTCTCGCTGAGGTTGTCGCGCTGAACAATGGCATTGTTTAGGCTTCAGCTAGTGTAGGCGATTCTCGTAATGGATCTTTTAGCAAGGTTTAGGGATCGGTGGGTCAGCAATCGAGCCACGTACTCGATTCCTCGGAACCGAGATCGCAACGTATGGAGGACTAACAAATATTGTTTTCTTAGCAGGCCTGCACCTTGTTTAGGGCCTGGTCCGAATACCAGCAGTGTTTTAGTGTTTTGTGCACCGTTTCGATGCCCTGTTACGTGACTCATTCCGTTAAGGGGAATTGGAACAACTTGTTATGCTGTCCATGTGCTTTACCCTCAAAAGGCATGGAAAGCTTCAGACAAAAATGGAGCCTACATTACAGTGTCGTAAATTAAATATTTACCTGGCTGGGGCGAACAGTCTGTGGATCGCTACGTATCTTAGTTTTGACTCCTCCATGTGCCATGCATATTCACATCCAAGAGACTAATAAATACGGAAACTGGAACAATGTCCATTCCTTACCTAGTTTCCGCAAATTCATCAGTCAATATCACCACAGCCTGATCCTAGCCGAACTTAGATGAAGCAAACAATCCCAGATGCTGACCTCGCCCCGCTTTATTCCACACGACCAGCGGGATTCTGCCATCCCAGCTGGATTTTGCACCGGACCAATCATGCACTCATACAACATAATAATACAAAGGAACAAACCAAAAAAAATGCTACCTGATCCCCACTAGCATATCCTATTAGAGATATCCCGGCCCGCTCCACACAAGTTCGTCATAATCTCCAGGGACGGGAATCTGCAACCCAAAATATACAGGTTCTATCGTCTTCGGCGGTGAGCGCAAATCTTTGTGCTTCACATACATGCAATTCGAACCTCCTTATATGATATACTAATGAGAGACATCAAATGTATTATGCAAGAAATCATTGCACATGTACGCAGGCAATGTGGATGGTCAATCCACTTCCTGAACTGTTTCGTACTAGGTAGGGGTTTGATTTAATCCGATTTGATATCCGGGTGTGTAATTTTATGAATAATTATTGAGAATATGCTCAAATCATGATTTCCCCTTAGATGTTAGTTATGCTATGCAGCTGCAGACATTTACTGTACGATATTAGCCGGAGGGCTAAGGCAAACCAGGGGCCCGTCGGGAATTGACTGGCCTTTTACTAGATCTAGACTTACGGAGGTGGTCGTTGTTAGATGGTGGGAATTGAATCGTTTGTTAATGGGAAGGGGATTTATTTTCTGCATTCCGAATTTCTCTTGGGGAAGAGGTTGCATGATGGGATGGATGATTGAGGAAGCCTTACAACAAACAAAATGACGTTAGTGAAGTAAGGGGGCAGATTGTGCGATTTGTGATATTGATATGGGGGTATTTGTTAAAAGTGTTTTTATCAGGGTTGACGCTGGAAGGTAATGCTGGATGGGTAAGATCCATGTGTGTTCGTGAACTGTCTGTCGTTTTACCCCTAGAAATGTGTATAAATTGAATCGGATAGAAAAAAAAAAGAAAAAAAAAAGAAAAAAAAAGAAAAAGAAAAAACAAGAATATTTATTTACCAGCTCCTAACTAGGCCCATATGTCCCCATGAAGCAAAAGAATTCACCACCTCAAAGAAAGGAAGTGTGATTCAACTACCTCATCAACATTTTCAAGTAACCTATCACCTAGCTAGGCTGTCCATAAGACCAGATATCGTCCCATATGAAACGACGTAGACACTACCTTGAGAAAACACATTCGTGCTATTCCCAATGACTGACGTCATCACCTCCCGCGAGTGGCGTCTCTCACTTTTCGTTTCCCTTGCGCACCTAGGCATATACAATTAGGTATATATACATGCACCGCATATTTCTGCCCTCCAGGTTCCAAAATTCCATCTCGCCAAGGACACGATCTGCTCCCGGAAAGATATTCGTATCAAGGAGGCCGAGATCTGTCGAGTTTGCCTTGATATGTTAAAATGGTTTTGGCAGGTTGGTCAGGCCAATGGAATCTGCGTGCACTGCGCCAGGGAATTATCGGCTAGGGTACGTGTCAGTTGACGGTACGGATTCCGCCCGAGATGGTGATGGTGGTGGTCCTTCTTCCACGCCCGATAGCCTGTCAGGCAAGCGGGATTTCGAGAAGCAAGCCCACCAGATGATAAATCGCTTCCTTGTCCTTAGGTGATGAGGAATGGTAAGTGAATGTTTCATGTTATGAAATTATTGGTATGATCGGCTGAAACGAAATATTCCGTCCCTGCAACAACAGATGCATAATTTATACCAATAAATCGGGAAATGTAGTAAAGAAAGGAAGGAATGGAGGTTAACTCGGGGAGTGGAAGGGAATGGATCCGAGATTGGTGTAGATATATCTTTGTGTAGAGTTGGTGAATGCCTAGATAATGTTGGAAACGCTACAAAGCCGGCTGTTTAAAGATTCTTCTGATGATCTTCCCTTATTTTTTTGGTTCTTTTATTTCTGGCTGACCCGTTTCTGCTTATGACCCCAAAAATCCATTGGCATTCGACGTGGCATGTAAACCCCGTCACAGAACAGAAATATGTATAACATTCCATTCAAACCAGAACGCACAGGGGAATTCAAGTGAAGCCAATTTGGTTCCGTCACAAGGCAACATAACATAGATTATACCATTGGGTAATTTTCTCAAGTCTTGAGGATGTGGCACACACCCAGGAACATCTTGTGCTGTGGCACCTTGATTGGCATTAACCCGACTTCAGAATCTTTGCCGAGAAACCCAGGGTTTAATCTGGGAGACTGTTCGGAGATATTTCTTACTGCGAAGCAGCAAATGGAATAGTGAAGCAACTTGATATGCCTGGCAGCAGTGTAATGATGTTTCCGGAGATGATTGAGGAGATTAGATTTGTAGGATGGGAAGAGTGGAGAGCATCAAGCATCAGAGACGGTTGTGTCTGCTCCACTCTCTTTCCTTTTCCTAGATCGCGTAACTCGCATATCGGCCAGGGCTTCAATTTGGCTCAGCCCAAAGATTTTGGGATACTGAGCGGACTTCTCCAGCTCCCTCGCTAACGGTGTAACCCGGAATTTCTTTTCATTTTCATCGAAAATGATCCACCGTTCAAGCTAAAGTAGAGAGTTAATGATGAAAAAGGGTAACCAAACGAGATGGAAGTAGATGACATCAAAGAATGTTGGAGAAAAAAGAAAGAAAATAAAAAACTTACCGATGCTAGACGATATGCATACCAGAGGCAACGCTCTGTACGGGGACCTGCAATGCTTGGCAATTCCAATCCCCGTTCGTCATAATCAATGGCAGGATTACTGAAGAAGTCATCCGGATAGCATGGTCGCGCCCAGATCTGACCTCGCATGAGAATATCTTCCGGCAAAATCACACTCGTGCCATTGGCAGGAGTGGGGAAGTCGTCCCTTGCAGCAATAAATTCATCCACGCCTCGCCGGCTCAACGTATTTAAAAAGAAAACAAGCTTCTCCCAAGGGATTTCGCGTTGAAAGTACGCCATGGACTCCGGAACCAATGCTAAACTCCAAATAAATATGAGGATAATGTGAACATGTGGAATAACGGCCTTCTCGTTTGTATGTGTAAGAAGAAGAGAGAGAATATGAAAAGTCATGAAGGAGGCGTAAGAAATAACTTCCAAAGAAGTCAGGAACTTTGTGTCATCAAATGGAACATCGATGGGCGGAAGCATTTCCTCAACTTCTTCAGTTGAAGCTTTGGCCCAGAATTCTTTCGCAGCCTGAATCCTAGTATCCCAAGACAAGGTCGCAGATTTTTTGAAGGCTTTAACGAGGATGGCATTATCATTTCCGTATTCCAGCATGGCCGCAATGTTGGAGGATGCAATGTGCACTCCTTGATCCCGGAATTTGGTCCCCATCCGACGAACATGCTTATTCAGGAGGGACACATGCTCGACCACAAATTCAATGAATTGGCTAATCTTTCCCTGATTGAAAAGTATCGCATGCGCTTTCACAAATGAAATCGCTACTGGTAAGGCAGGGCCGTAGGGTCCATTGTAGCCGGGATTCGGCCCAAAAAGAGGATCAAAAAGGTAGTGGATGCTCCCCCGGGTATTGATGAAGGGTTCAGCGGTAAGGAGAGACTTGGTGTAATAGAATAGCTGTTCAATAATGTTTGGCCGAGTAAGCACCGCAAGGTGATGCTGGAGCCTTCCCAAGTGGGGGTTTTCTTCCAGAGCCAGGAGATACCATTGTCGCGCCACCCCAGCCCAAACTTCTCGTTCAACAATATTGCGCTGCTCAACAGCCATCCGATACCTTGATAGGTCACCAAGGCATTCAATCCATATTAGTCGAAAACAGGGTACAGCCTCCATAAGAAGCGTTATCGTGTTATATGCGGCGTATATAAATACCAACATGTGATCGAGTGATTGCGGGAGTCTTTCCCTCAATAGCTCCAGGAACGAGTGGATGCCATGTTGCCATAACCGAGCGGGCATGCAGTATTTACTGGCGAGTTGTTTAAGTGGCTCACCGGAACCGGGATGATGTGAAGCCATAAAGAAATCGTGGTGCTCGTTGAGAAGAGTCCTATGAAGTCCAATTAACGCATGCCATTGTCTATGAGACAAAGCGGTCTCAGATTTGAATTGCGCTTGATTCATCTCAATGCATTTGTTCTCAACCATGACAAGTCCCGCATATATTCCACGAATTTCAGTGATCAACTCCTCTTGCGATATCGGCCGCGTCGGAAGCTGATGAAATAAGCGGTTTACTGGGGGTGGTGACTGTTCATCTTCCGCATACGCACCCTTTCCATACCCGCGCAGCTGTCCTAGGTCAAGGTCCCAGCTCGGAATCCCGGTGTAACATTGCTGCAGTGTTGGAGTATCACCCAATCCCAAATCAATTGGGTGGGGATCGCTCTGATTTTCCTGCGGATTCAGGATTCGTGTTGAGTTTATTGGGGGGTTGCAATCGCCGTTGTTAAAGTCACTCGAAGAGTTGATGGGCGGTCGCTTCCCCTCAACCGTTGGGTGCGTATGGAATAAATTCGGCTCCGACTCATCTTTAAACTTGCCTTTATCCAAGGTACTGTCAAAAGGACAAAGCTCTGGAGCTGGAATCCTCATGGATTGTGTTCCCCTCATCCCCACCCGTTGACATTGAAGCAATCGCAATCTCTCCGGTTCAGAAACAGCGGGTGGGACCTTCGGAGAAGCAAGAGGGTTCGACGGGTAAGAATGAACTTGAGGATTTGCCCTGTCACCACCAATCTTAAGGTTTGCCAATCTGCGTTGGTTGACTGTGTCCTCCTGGCTCGAACTGGTTTCGTACTGTTGGGGCACTGGCTGTCCATTGCTGTTCATATAAAAGGCGCATGAGCTTGGATACAATCTGCACCGAATAGCATTATTTTGCCACCCTCCACTTACCGTGTCATTGCATTTAAAGAGTTCTTATGGACTGCATGAGAGTTCCTGGAGGGTGTGGCGTCCGGCCTTCTCTGGCGTCCCCATTTCCGTAAGGAACGGGGTTGGGAATCACTGATGGGGTGATGTTTTCCCATCCCGAAAAGCTTTGCGGAATGGGTTTAACTTGAATGTCTTTGGGGGTATCGTTGGGATCAAAATGCGAGTGCATCCATAGAGGTCAATTCAGACTTGAATGAAAAGTTTTGGGAGTGCATCTGAACAAGGGCAGGACGCTCGACGGCTGTTTAAGATATGTCCTGGTGATATTGGCAAAACCTGAGTGACTATACGAGGCCTGTAATACACTTTATATCGACAGAGAGAAAGGGAAGCCTGGATATCAATGCCGAAGAGACGTAGTAATCTAGACTGGATGGATATATGCGCGTCTTTATCTCAACCGGGGATGTGGCTGGTGAGATGCGGTACCTGGACACGGAGTATTGTATGAAATGGAATTACCTGCTAGGCGAGATTAAGGTTCCGCCGCAGCCTGGATGATTATCAAGCGCCAAAATTATAGTTAGATGGTTGCCTAATAACAAGAGGGGCGAACCATTTGCGGACTAAACGTTGCCATCCCCCAAATCCTTGGGCAGCCTCGTCGAAACTCTCGCTGGGGGGTCTTTTTCTGTCCGCGACACAACCCTCTCTCCTCCCCTTTGAACTAACTAAACCCTCAAGGCTGCGTTGCAACATTCCGTCAATGCCCCAACACCCTCTTTCTCTTCCCCCAGCTGCTCGACTTTTGAACAACCCCTTCAGCGTCTTCAGCGCCTGTTGTTCCTCCTGAACCAACTCGCGCAATAACATATCTATCCGATTTGCCCTCGGAATTCCGGCGTGGACGATATCAAAACTTATTGCCTGAATAGATAGATGGGTATCCGACGATGGTGTTTTTTTTGGGGGGAAGACTTCCGGTCCTGTGCCTCCTCTAAAAAGGTTTTACCGTGAGAGCCTTATGAAGGGACAAGAGGGAAGATACGCCCACAACAGTTTTCTCTGTGGCTTGTTTTTGGGTGACCTCTGCCTGGTGAAAACCTACTACTCTCATGAGAATCTTTTCTTTATATCTGTCATAGTTCTTGCAAGTAAACGCGACCTCGCTTAAATTAACCAGGCCCATTCCTCCGAAAGTATGTACACTCGGTTGGCCCGTCTGATCCAAAGCGATGCAGATCTTTTTTAACTATCCAGTTGGGCGGAATTGCCCGGTCACGATCCAAAAATTTCCCTTTTCAGTGCCTTTTTTTCAGTTTTGTTATTGCAAGGAAGGCCAACAAAGTAGTGGTTCAGGCTGCGGTGTATCCAGAAATGCGCCCAGCAATCAGCATTGATTATTTTTGCCAGCAACCTAATAGGAAACGTACTCCATTTTAGTCTATCCGTGGACTGCACATGTATATGCAGTTTCAGTTGTGTGGAAAACTCCACTTCGATCAGTGCACCCATTTCCGAAGCCGCTCTACTAGGTTCAGGTAACTATGTTTGAACTTGGAAATCATCTCTACATCCATTCCTCTGCTATCTAGTTACACTTCTGCCACAAGGTGCTGCTGATTTGAAGCAGCCTCGTCAACAAGAACCATCCACAACCCAACTACCATTTTGCTGGCGATTACGCATGTCTCGGATGCCCATCACCGCTTTTTTGAACATGTAATCTACTCTTTTAGTTAGGTTGGATGGATGGATGATCTAGCGTAAAATCAAAGGCTGGAAATCGATGAGAAAATGCACGTTCTAAACTTCTTCATGGCGTTTAAGCGTGGTTAGCTGTGTATGTGTCCTGGGCATTGCGCCTCAATTTTAGGCTTCGGGCTGCCTTATTGAAGATTTTTAAACGTGATGATTTTCCGTTTTGGATAATGATGATATCAATGGCCTGACAAGCACTGAAAGGGAAGGTGTTTGTATTTTCATGCACTGACCAGGCAACCCCAACTTCAAACCCGGCATTCCATTGTATTTCGCACAGGACATGCCTTGGAAGAACAGTCCGTGCCAACCGGAGGAAGATGGACGATTGGACAATATCATATCATCTTATCTCAGCCCCCACTTAGCTCGTTTCAAAAACCACTCTTGTTCGGAGTTGCATGAACTGCGGCGCATGTACTCCCGTACATATAACTATATGTATGTCTATATATGTAGATACCCTGGTTCTTCTCTGGCCCGCATCCGCCCGTCTAACACGTGGTTTGCCCTTCTGCCAAGTTCCTTTTGTGCCTTAAGGCTCCAATATCAATCAAACGACAAGCCTTCTAAGAGCCCTTGTTTGCAGATAGACAACATATATATTATTACATCGGAAAAGCCACTGGGATTGAGCGAATGAAGGAAAAGAAATCACTAAACAAGGACGGGGATGCAGAAAACAAGGCTGAATGTTTCAATGTCATGTCATCTGACCCGCTCCCTCCGGCCCTTCTCTTGTTCCATGGAAGAAACTATTCCATTAATACTCTTGAATGATGGTGTGTCCTCAGCTTTGCCTGCTTCTCCAACTACAGACCGGATAAGAGTCTCAAAAGGGTTGTCTTTCTCATATTGATCTGAGAATCAGGGTGGGGGCAGAGATCAACAGCCTTCCGAGGTGAAGTTATGGGAGTTCAAGTTCTTGTAGGCAGAACACAATATTCCCGTCGTGTGCCAGCGATCTTATTTTTGCCAGTCGCTAATTGGCCATTTGAATATCTTAACTCTTTTTTTTTTTTTTTTTTTTTTTCATAGATTGTCATGAGCCCTAGACGTAATATTTGGCTGTCTCATTTCTTCGTCTGAGATGACATTATTATCGTTCTCCTCATTGGTCTGGGACAGACGCGGCGAACCACCCTCCCTCTGGAATATATACCTTCGCTATATACTTTCCTGCCTAGAAATCGAGTTTACCGAGCCTGGCAACCCTGTGGAATACGGGAACGAGCTAAATGACCCATCATCTCATGTGAAGAATGTCTATCTTCCAGCAGACACCCCCAAAACCCCTTCGGAATGGAGACTGCTGTTGACTAACCTCTGGTCGTTCCACCCGGAACCGCCCATATTCGACAGGAAAGACTTCCATTTAACTAGTAACTAAGGTACGGGTTAACTAAGCTGACTGAACTTAGTAATAAGCTCTCGAACGCTTGAGTTGGGGAGGGGGGTAAACTGGGTGAGTATCATGGTTCTTCTCCCTTCATTGCCTTGGCGTCGCCCTGTATGTTGGGCCTCTTTACAGCAGCCTCCACTTCATGGAGTAAATCTTTCCATTACTGCTGGGAATTTTCTCCAATTAGATGCCCCCTCGATTTAACCGAATTCGAAGGCCCTTAATTCCTTGAAAACTCGAGGCACAATCCAAAATACGTTGATGGTTGGCGGGGAGTTAAGGCTTCCACCCATATGCTCATTCTCTAGTTCCCAGGCTGGATGGTCATATTTCACAACACACATCCCATAAAGTCCTAGTAGAATGTCTAACGCATCTCTCGAGAATTTCATCTCAACCTGCTGGCCAAGAACCCACCCCCTTGTCGAGTTCTGAAGAGTGGAGGCTGCCTCCCGTCATTCTTACCACCCCGTTGCAGTACTGCATGACCTAGCAGCTTTGCGACCATGGCTTTGGTAGCATTGCTGACAGCTGACCTGTGGCGAAAGCATGAGCATGCATACGGAGTATACGGGCCTCCATACCTCGCCGTAGAATGAGAGAGCGGTGGAAAAGACCGTAAAGTCGAGCAATTTACTTATTATTCTGCATGACAAGGAAAGAAAATGTTATCCAAACGAGGAAACACTACATACCGAGCTAGGCTCCCTTTCACTGTCAAACATATGCAGCAGAAGTCGACCAGCCAGGTCGCCATCGTCGAATCCCAGACCCAAAACACGCGTGCTGACGTATCTGCCTGGTTCGCCCTTTGGCTTTTTTGAATTCCGTCGATAGTTCACCAGCCAATTCTCGGCTTTACTCTCTGTAGTTCTTTCTTGTTCAGTGGCTGCTAATTTCCAGACACCAGTCGATGGGAAACATCAAAACCGAAACATACCCTGACGTCCCTGCTTTCCTTTCCCTTGGTCTTCTTTAGCAGGCGATGTGGCACAGTTCAGCAGCCTAACAAGCAGCATATATCTCTGGTTACAGTCACTCCGCAAAAGTATTCTCAACCCCCACCAAAATTTAGTTCTGCTGGAGGGATTAGAAAAGAAATGAGGGCTGCCAGAACTTTTGCGTTTAGTACTGTATCACCCACCCCTTTTACCATTCCCAGTGTGGAAGTTGCCCGATATCTCCCGGTAGTTCTTGTGGCAGAATGTCCTGGTATGTGGTTGCAATTCCTGAGAGCTGATTCCGGCCGGAGATACTCCGCCGAATACTGTGGGAATATCTTGACCAGAAATTGACGCAGCCCTTAACTTGCATTGGAATGGTTAGGCAGAAAAGCCTAGTGGAAAAGGCAGGTATTGGCGAGCGACGTAGCATATCTGTGCCGTCATTGGAGGTTCATACGGCGAGCGGAACAAATTAGCGGTTGTATTAATGCGAAGATGACCCCATTGGCCGAAGTTAAATAAAATCCATGTATCTAGCAGCCCCAGGAACCCAGCAAGCTTCTCACCATTCATATATGTACAATTGTCGATGCATGGAAATTTGGCCCAACTTGGTACGAAAAAGTTGTCTGAAAGTATTTGTAGGATTTCTCGCAAACCTCAAAACTCCAAAGACAAGACTTTGACAAATGAAGAACTCCCAAAGCCGATTCCCTTCGGAGCGGGAAACCTGTAGATCTGTACGTAACAGTTAATATGTTGGTTCGACACATCTTCTGGTTGCCTGATTCCGCGCCGGGGTGTTTGATCGTGGCTTTCACCGTTAGTACTTTTGAGCACCTTTAGAGCAATAAAAAACATCCAAGATAACCGCCAGATATTCATGGACCTCCTTATCCTTGCGGGAGGAGAAAAAGCAAGAATAAAGCAGAACTGGAGACGGATTTCCGGGACAAACGCGGGTGGAAGTTAACGAAACTTCCCCCAACCAGCAGAGCCCCCATACAAAAGAGGTTAGGTTCCACTGACCGCCGCCCCGCGAAGTCGTGCGTGAGATGAATATATTGGAGGTTTGTGCCAAAGATGGCCATATTCTTGGTGACTACGACATTTATTTGCAGATGCAGCAAAAGACGACATGTCGACATGCACGTCTCATATGCCATCCATACGTCCCGCCGGTTTTGCCTTAGTTCCAAAATTAAGGGAAACTGATTTCATTTTACCGGAGCCATCCCGGATGGCCTCCAGATTCCAGGTGCCCAGCTGGTGCGCGAAGATGGATCGATGACGATCTGTTGGATACGAGCTTGCCAACCTGAGAGTCAAAATAACTCATGAATAATTTATGACCAATGGAACCGATATCTTAGTGGGGATAACTACAGATCAAATGCATGAATAAATCAAGATTTAGTGGATTTAAGTGAGGGAAGCTATGTATGTACATGTGTCCCAGCTGGGCATCTAGATATCAAGATGGTTTAAACTGCCTTGAGGTTAAGCTTATTATTATTCCAGAGAGTTTGGTTGGGTTCCAATAACTTAATTCCCCACACCTGCGGGCGCCAATCGGTTACACCCCATGAATCTCCTAACCACTTGTCCTCCGCACAACGTCCAACAGCCATCAACAACTGGCACCCTGAAACCCTCTCAGAAATGAGAGTTAACCGTGGGCTTAAAAAATCCCTAGGTAGAACATTGGCAAGTCCCTCAGACTAAGGAATTTGGACTCAGAGCTGCTGCTAGAATTGTCTATATGTATGACTATTTATTCCGCAAGTTTATGTTCATGGTGATTAGTATCACGCCCCAAAACCACGGACGGGATAGAACAATCACGAACCTGTCAACTGCCACTGGTTTTCCAATGAATATCCGAATCTAGCCCTATGGAGGTCCGTGCAGGAACGGGAGATATGAAAAATCGGAGAGGAATAAACTTTCTGATACATACAATCTACCCATCCCGAGCATTGACATGTTTGCAGGGTCCGCCATTTGAGTTTTGACCGCCAGTGACAAAGGTTCTCTCTAGTAGGAGCTCGGCTTACTTCAGGGACCTATGGCTCTGTGGCCACTGTGGCTATTACATAGGAGTTTTGGTTGCGCATCAAAGCTTCGCTCTTCGCACCTGTCAATGCCTAAGATTGCTAGCTTTGCTGTGTTCCGTGTACAAGGCTCTTATGAAACCCGGAGTGGTTGGGTTGCCAATTGCTACTTTCGTGCGAACCAGCCATTTGCGTATGTCAGGCTTTCTCTCTTCTGTATTTAATTTTAACAGGTTTCTAGCAATTATTTTCAGTTGGTTTGTTGGATTTTCGACCAACGTCAACATCCATCCATGCAGCTTCGTCCAGCAACCCTCAACAAGCTACGTCACACCATTCGATCGACATTTGTTGAGTGGGGCATTCGTTGTTTGTGGTGCATGAGATTTTCCGGATCATACGCAATACGGGTAATAATTAAGGGATAATGATTGAGACAACTTGTGATTTCCTGACTGCATCACTGCCACAAAAGGAATATCATCTATCTTTGAGGTTCCGTCGTTACGCGTCGCCAACATCACACTCTGGGAAAAAATTGAAGTCCTGAATTGTTTCATTACGATGCGAGCGGGGAGATACCGATTTGAATTGATATTACTCTTTGTCTGAGGGCCTGGCGCCTTATCTGCTGGACGAATCCTCTCTTGCATGTTCCTGCTCTGAAAGTTCTACGACAACTCAAGGCTATGAAGAAATATAGTAACCTGTTATCTGATGACCGCACGGCCTATCAACATCTGATCGACAGGCTTATCACAGTCACGTGCATCGGATTGCCGTGTGCGAGGCCGGAATCGACAACTGTGGATCACAAGGCAACCGAATAAGACTGCTGTCCATGGTCTGTCTGAGCAAGGTTTCTTTCATCTCAGACTATCCCATCCATGCCGCGGAACATCCAACGTGATCCAGCAGATTGGGACTAGGGGAATCGACTACTTGATGCAGGAACAAAATTAATGAAGAGGACCTGATGAAATACACTCCCCCTAACAGGTCACGATCTTTTTGATAAGTTAGCTAACAAATCCCACAGTCCTGTCAACTGAAGGTGGCGACGACTCGCAATTGCTCCTAACATTCAAATATTGATGCGGCTGCACTGATTTGCCTTTTAAGAATCCAGTTCCAAAATGCCGGGACCACAATTAGACGCTTATCGCACAAGGCCTGTGTCCAAAGCGTAGCCCTGGATCTACACCACTAGCCGCAAGCGGAGAGAAAGGTGTCCCGCGATACGTGGGATGTGGATGGGAGACAACGTGAAATTCCATTTTCCGGTTTATACAGCATATCCGGTGACGTCTAAGTTATTTCCGTGTATCTCTACGACTCCCTTTCAATGGAATGTGCATTTCTGAATCGCGCGATCCAAAGCGATATAGTTAAGAACACTAATCCCTTATGGCTACAATCGAATCTCCTTCGTAGGAGCGGAATCAAATTTCCGTGAATACCGTTCGAAAAGCCATCCCACGAACTTTCCGCATATGGAACAACACCGTGCGGATGAGCCGATTGTCAAAGCTCCAGATAACGTATTTTATTTTCCGGTTGAACCTCGCGCAGTTCAGCAAAACAGGGCAACATACTTCGACTTTATGCCATGTCTAAAATATTCATATCTGATTTGATAACCTGGTAAATTAACTGCTTTCCTCTGACTGTGTCTATCTCTCCACTTCTTTTTACTTCTCCCGTTAGACTTTATTACCCGATGCCCCTGACAACAAATCTAAGCAGTGCCTACGAATCATCGCGATATACGCCGTACACTTAAAAGGCAACCTTCCCCCAAATATAGTCTCTAACTTCATGATCAACGCCCAGCTTAGCCACAATCGAATTTTCTTGCTTTATCCAATAGCAGTCAACAGGTATCCTTTGGACACTTGGTAACCTTACAAACTTAGAATAAGGCAGAAGTTGGTCTCTGTAAATCGGTTGAACTTCAACATCAAGCTTGATGCGGAGCAGCCGTATGCGCCTTTATGGGGGATTTCCGATCACGTATAGAAATTCGCATCTGGACCCTTCGAGCCATACAAGGCAGCTATCAATAATATACCGTTATCATAGCTCTGTCATATGCGTTTCTTCTCCATGTTTGGGGTCTCGGGAAAGTAATATACTTTAGATGTCTTTTAGAACCTAAGTATGAGAGGAACACATTCCAGTTCTTCGTTCCGTTATCACTCTGGTTGGCATATCTTGTCCTTTTGCAACCCCGAGCCATAGTTAGCATGTAATGGATAGTACATTACAATATGGATTGAAAGGCGAGGCAGCAGACCACAGTAACAAGATCCATTTATAAGATATTTTCTATGGCTGGCTGCTTTTCGTAGCTACTGTGCTAATTTGGCTGGAAAATAGTTCCCTAGAGAAGCTATCTGTCCAATGAATTTTGAACAAGTGCACGCACCTCACTGGGATATTCTAGTTACGGGCCATTAGTTAGTTAATCTTCACCTTTCTTTTTTGGTTGGTTGGTTTTTGATGCTAATTTTCAGCTATTCGACACCCGGGAAAGAATACTGATACGCTTACTCCACAAACCTGGTTAGTAACTATGTTAAAAGGTAGTTATGATATTTCCGAAACATCGCTCAAGTACAATCGCCGGGCATTAATTTCAATTCCTCATTATGTGCCCAGGATCTGATGGTATCTCACTACCCTACCATTCATGAAACCCCCCCTCAAGTATCAAAACCTGACAGGAGCCGTTCGGACCTCTCTCTGCAAAACATACATTATTATTACCTCATTTAACACCATGCATCTCATGGGGAGGAGAACAAAACCTTCCCTGCATTCCGAACGGACCAATTCGTTAGTTAGAGAGCCTCGGGAAATGTTGATGTCGAGGGGGTGCAGGGTGTAAATACACAATAGGATTTGCTGCTCTTCAGCAAGATTCGACTACCAAACAACTATAATGCCCGAAATTATGAAAATGAAGTGAAAAGCTATGCGTTAGATAGGTCATCTCCTTCGTGGTTAGTTATTAACAGTTTAAATATACATCCACTGATAAACAATCCCGAAAATACACAAACTTGTCAGGGATCCCGAGATTCAAGAAACAGGTAAAAGCTCAATAGACGTAGTCACGGACTTGGTTGAGAAAACGGGACAAGGCTGTGCTGGGTCATTAAATAGGCGGAAAGCAAACGGCCTGGAAGCATAACCACGTCTTGGGGGCCAATTATCTCAACGAACGGGGCACGTAACGAGCATAGCTAAAATATCCTCTATGCCAAATCGTCACCTGGACAATCTTGACATGAACGCCATAAATGCGCCATATCCACGTCCCTCTTCTCCATGCTGCCGTTTGCATCGATTTATAGTGGAGGGATGTCGGGGAGGAAGTAGGCTGGAATTGAGGGGTCAGTTGTCTGAAGAAGAGTAGTAATATGATAGAAGTAGAGTGTGTAACTATTTGACCAGTCAAATATTTAATATTTGGTCACGGTCACAATTTTCCTCCGTGCCTCCCACGCCAGAAGCCCTCATACTACTATACTAGGTTTGGGGGGTTCCATTTCCTATCTTCGAAAAGCAATTAATGACTAGCCGCGGGCGCCGCAACAATGCCGTGGCCTGTGGGGATCCCTGCATTTAATTGAGGTTAAGGCTCGGAAATCGAAGGGTATTTAGGAAAAGAGGAGCTTTCTGAGTCGAGAGATAGAATATGACTGAGAGGATTTCAATGAAAAGGGCACGATCGCTGATGATGATAGGAGCAAGTGAATGGGTTCGAAAGATACCGTAACCACTCACCACCTGTATGGCTAAGTTTTAAAGGAGGCGTGGATTATTAAGGGAAGAAAGAAGGCATTGCAAGGAAGAAGAAATCCTAGCTCAACTAGCTCTTCAAGACTGAGGGAAATGAAATTAAATATAGATGCGAAATGTATTCGATGTAGTCCGTAATGTCAAGCGAGTTCCGTATTTTGAGCCACACTACAATAAGAACCAAGTTGGACTGTTGCGACTTAGTACTAGCAACTGGCACCTTTAGTTATATTCCATTATTAATGTCTGTTTAACTTTCTCCGCAGCCCCGTCATGCATTCATACATACATACATAGAACTACATCCGCCATCCATATCTGGGATCTGTGTTTGCAGTTACGGTCGTCCGAACTGGACCGCAATCAAAGACGAAGCGAAAACGCAAGAGAGAAGGATTATATCCTCTCACTAACTAGTAATCCATGATGACTGATGTTTGCGTGCGATGAACTGGTGAACCTCTGACATCTGGGATCCATGAAGTACTGGACGTATTCGAAACAGCAATCCACCCCCGTATACGCGAAAATTGTCACCTCGACTTAACAAAGCTTCCACACGTGTCACGGTTTCAGTTGGCGAGAAAATGGAATCTGGGTGGTAGAGAAAATACCTGGAAAAAGGGGATCAGAAAATCGAAGTATTTTTGATTAGTGACTGAGGAAGCATTGAAAAGAGAAATAAAAGGAGATAGAAACAAGCACAGGGGAATCAAATGTGAATAGCCATATGTTCTGAGGGATAAGGGGAAATTCGCCAGAAAAGGCAATAGATAAGGAAAAGAGGCGAGAATAAATGCAAACAAAAGATTGATAGAAACCCCTGTTGGAAAATTAGACAACGCAGGTTGCTTAATCGGTTTGCCTTGAACCAGTTGAGAAAAAGGAAGGAATCTAGGAAGTTCTGCTAAATGCTATCGATGGTCTTCTGTTTTCTGAAAGCGTATGTGATGAAATCAGGTATCAAGTTAGCAAAAACCATGGAGAGACTCGACCGCCTACGGGACAAATGATGACCTGTAAGAGGGGAGAAAATGAAAAGAAATTGTAAGTTAGAGAAATTGCCAAAGAAAGTACCGCCAGCAAACGCCATGCTATGCTTAATGGAAAAGCGATATGAAACCCGACGAAGCCATTCGAGAAAGTGAATCGGTTTTGTGGCGTGTTTATGCATGTTTCGATGTCGAGAGCGTCAGCAGAGATAGATTCGAATCTTCAGATGCAGTTAGCAAAACTGATCCCTTATGTCAACAAGATTGGTAATACACTACCTTTTGCTTTACTGGTTTGCGGCACATGGGGCATGTTGCGTTTCCACGAGGCTTTGTTCTATCTACCCTACTAGACGGCATATGTTGATCCGCACACCAGCGACAGAGAACAGCGTGTCCGCATGGAAGCACAACAGTGTCAACAAGTTGGCTCAAGCAAGCTTTGCATTCCATATTAACAGTGAGCTCTTCTGTTTCTTTAGCTTTGGGGCGACCATCGTTTTGGTTATCGAGTCCTTTCTTGGGAGGGGCCGTTTCGGCATTATTTGCCAGGGAGTCGAAAAATCGTCTTCTACGTTCTGAATCATTTCCAAAGTAACCAATGTCGGGGTCGTTGGGATAATGAACAAGCGCGCCACTGTATATGAGTCGAGCTATTTGAGCATTTACAAAGCTCTGCTCGCGAGAAGCGTTTGAGTTTCCCATCATGCCTAGAGCAGAATTAGGGTTTTGGTTATGCCTGTGAGATGGCCTCGGGTCCCCTGGCAATGGAGTTCCGGACTGCGAAGTCCCACCATCATGGCTGCGCCGGGCACGTCGGCGGCTCCCTATGTTGGAATTTGAATTAAGTCTACTACTGCCAGTGAGACTTGGAGGACTTGGGATCGATCCGTGAAAGGGTCGTCTCCGTGGAATGGACAAACTCAATCGATTTTCAGCGGGAAAGTCCGAGGCAAATGTTGAAGTCATATGAGGATTTCCATGGACAGTACTTGAGGGTTCGGTATCCGAGCTTTGTATGGTAGATTGCGAATGAAAGTAATCGACAGGAAGGTATGGGAATGGAAACGAATTTAAGGGGTTCTCGTTTTGAGCTATCACAGAAGAACCCGAAAATCGCGCAAAAGAGTTGTGTACTGGTGGTAGAGGGGAACCGGCGTCGAACCCTGCAAAAGAATCGGGGCGGCCAAAAGCTGGTTAGCTGTTAGTTTGTTTACTATCGGAATCTGTGCCTTCTAGACTTTAAGGAAACCTACCATTTGGGTGATATGATCCCTGGTTTTGGATGTTTCCCCGAGTCTCGCCGTTCTGCTCTAAATGTCCCTGTTGACGAGACTCCAGGGTGGGGAACGCGTCGTTTGCATGGTCAGAGCCCTGCAGGGCCGCATGATAGTACATCTGCTGGTGATCAAGGGGAATATAGCCATAATTAAGCGCCGCTTCTCTTGAGAAGTGGGATTGAGGAGTACCTAGAATAGCTGTTAGCCTTTTGTCAGGACGTACTGAAATTCTGACGTGAATCACAGGCAGTGATACCATTGACGCGTTGATTTCCACTAGTATCCCAAAAACCACTTGTTCCCAGTTGATCCTGGCCTGAACCCTGAGACTGCTGATTGAGAGAGTCGTAGAACGAGCCGTCTGTGGTAACGGGCGACTGTAGATTTGCTGCCATTACAGTACCTGGAGCCGCGTGGTCATGTCTTCCCGCCATTTCAGCTGGATTCACGAAGCTAGAAACGCGACGGTGGGAAATCTGGTGGTTAGATGCAGCTTGGCCCGACGTACGAGAGAGAAATGAAGCACGTCTTGGAGGTCCAGTGTTCAGCTGATTGATTTCCCTCTGAGGCGGCTGAAGTTCTTGATTTTGACGTGAGGATTGGAGCGTGGGGTGTTGAGATGGTGAGGTTATTACAAAGTTGTGTCTTGGAGTGGAATTGGAATAATCTGACTGACAGTTGCTATGAATCAACTGCGATCTTGAAGATTGTTGATGATTGTATGATGCTCTGATCCAGGATTGATTTGTAGGCAGTACACAATAAGGTTGGAATGACTGAATGCAAGATCCAGACGCAGGCACAGGTACAGGAGCAAATGAAGCCGGAACTATCTGAGATGACCAATATTCTATATGGCGCCCACATTGATAAGCAAGCGACGAGAGACAAGATACTGAGTAATGTAGAGGAGGAAGGAAAATGAGGAGAAAAGGGGGGCCACTCATTGGGAGTGATATTGGTTTAGTGACAGGCACAGGCGGGCAAGCAACGCAAGTGAAGAAGCAAAACGCAACCCAATAACATTAACAATTGATAAAGCTGTTGGTAAAGCCAAAGAAAATTTCTTCAGAGGAAAAAGGACTGACCCTTGCAATTCCAGCAGAGTCTGGAATATCGAGGAGATTGGCCGGCAGCGTCCTCTCCCAATGGGTAAGGCGCCGAAAGCGGATGGAAAGGCTGGTGGAATCTCACGTTCATACAGAAACAACAGGAATACTGGCAGAGAGATTGGCATCCGATGGCATATTTATGCATGCACCTTGTAATGAAAGCTGGCGAAGGCCAATTTGACATATTTCACATTCACAGTGTCATTCTCGTCGCCATCCCGTGGCGGGGGTGGCTGGAGGGTGTGTGGAGAACTGCAAGTCCATATTTAGCAAATCTGTGGATACTTTGCGGGCGAGTTTGGGAAGTGGGACGTTACCGGGAAGGCAAAGAGACAGTTTACGCAGCAATTCGTTGGATCTGAGGTTTCTGAAAGCCCAATGCGGCGGGTACTAACAATGGCAGTTGTTTCGACCTTTTGACTATCGTCTAGGGCAACAGAAAAAGTCGTGTCGTCGAGGGAGGATTTCAGAGAAGACGTTCACGGCCAAATCACCACGCAAAGAGACGGTAATCCGACATTAAG